GGGGGGGGGGGGGGGGGGGGAACCGAGGGTAGGCGGGCTTCTGTAGTCGACCCTTGCATTCATAGCTCGCAGCGGAGGAGCATGACGACGCTCGCAGGACGACAATCGTACACACAGTCGGGCAGTGCGCAGGCCCCAATGGTCGACTTTCGAATTCACGCCGTCCACCTCTGTTGTGTTCTGTGGCGTTTGTCGTGATATGAAGGTCCCGCCAGTGCGTCGTTTGTGGACATGCCGGAGGGCAGTTGCGCAGTACTGTGCTTGCGTGGTGCACCCGAAGGCGAGTTAGATGGCAGACGTGCTGCGTAGATTGCCTCTGCTGGCGCTGGTCGTCGTCGTCTTCCTCCACGTCTGTTTGTCGTGCCGGCCGTGGAACACACGTCGCAAGCGGAGGGCATCAACGAGAAGGCCACGCACGGACCGACCGATGGCGAACATGCAGGCAGGCGCGCCACAAGTGGCAGGTCAGGGCGGAAGTCTCCCTTCGACGGCGGCGCCCCGACGACGGTATGATCCATCGTCGTACAGCCATCTGCAGTCCTGGGAGACGCCGCTGCCCCCATCGGACGAGGAGGTGGAGGCGGAGGAACTAGGGACGTTGCCTTTGGCCAGCGGATCGACCCAGTTGTTGTTTTCGCAGCCGCTGATAGCAGGAGGGTCAGCCAGCAAGGAAGGCGGCGAGTTCACATCCCTCCTGGAAGCAGGCTTGGACCGCGACGACGACGGAGAAGTTCATCTGAGGTTCGGGTTGTCGTCGGGCAGCGCGAGACAGGCTAGCCGGACATTCATCATCGAAGAGCAACCTTCGCCACGTTCCCTGCAACGTCCGCGAGGAGAGCACATGGAACAGTTGACACTTTGTGGCGGTGCTTCCCTTACTGCACGTGCCGGGCCGTCATCGACAGCGCGCCAGCGTGGACCGAGCACGCCGTCCGTCGATCCACTACCAAAGACATTGCTCGCACGCAGCGAGGTATCGGCAGCAGCCGCACGCATCAGCGGAGTCGCGGCAGCACCCGCCCGCAATAGCGTTGGGCGATCAAATATGTCCAACCCCGCACCCAGGCCCGAGGATGAATTCAGAGGCGATCCCGCTTGCAGACCGGTGGTGCATCCGCAGCCTACGGTGGAGAACATAACAGAGGGAGTGTCGAACATGAGGGCACATAGCGATGGTGTCGACGAGAATGGCAGTGCTGACGACGATGCCGACGATGGATTCAGGGAGGACGTCGAAGCCGTTGACGACGACGGCGATGCGCCTATTCGGCCTTTGGGGAAGGCGGGTGGGAGGGGGAGAGGACGTGGCAAAGGTGGTGGTCGCGGTCGATCCGCAGGGCGTGGCAGCAGAGTAGCCGACGGCGACGATGGCGGGAAATCAGCGACATATTGGTCCACAGACGATCAACTCCTCGTGGTGCGCTGCAAGTGGGAGCAGGACATGCACCTTGCCGGCCTTGGGCACAACTACGGTCGGATGCGAACGAAAGAATGGAAGTGGGAGGACATCGCAAAACGGATGGCGAACGCGGGCAGTCCTAGAGATGCAGATGACTGCATGAAGAAGTAGGACAATCTATTTCGGAACTACAAAAAGATACAGAGGTTCCAGAATGCCAGCGGCGAGGCAGATTTCTTCAGGCTGTTAAATGAAGAGAGGAAGGACCACAATTTCAAGTTTCAGATGGAGAGAGCGCTCTACAACGAGATACATGGAGGCATGTTGGAAAACCACACCATTTTCCCTCCCAACATCGCAGACACAGGTAATCCGGACGGCGTGCAGCTGCCAAGACGAGGAGCGGGCGGTGGGGAGTCTATTGATAGTGAGGCGGCCGGTGATGGGTGGGCGGAAAAACGTTCTTCGCCGAGGGAGTCCGACAGCAATGTGGGCAGCGGGGCCCGAAGCATGAAGCGGAAGAACACGCGACAGCAGGCGCTGGAGTCCATCGTCGACGTCATGGATCTGCACGGCGCGCTGATGTCCTCGACGATGGAGTCCTCCAGCAAGCGACAATGCAGCGTTTTGACGAGGCAGTGCGACATCCTGGAGCAGGAAGTTGCAGTTCAAAAAGAGCACTACGCGGCGTCCGATGAAACGCAGAGGATGATGTGCCATGCCTTGATGGAGATCGTTGCCGCCATTCGTGGTCGCTCTACAATGTAAGCCGTCGGATCGTCGATGCGATGATGTTCATTCGTTGTCATCAGCATCGCCAGATTGGAGCATAACGGTCGTCAGAGATAGTAGCAATGTCGTCGGCGGTAGCTGAGGGTGGTTTGATGGCGAAGTGTAGTGATGTAGCCCGTTTTCGAGACCGCTGCTCATGTACAGTCGTCCACGTCGAAGATGACCTTCGTGGTGGCGAAGTGTAGTGTCAGCGATTTGTTTTCCTTTTTTATTTGTATTTTTTTGTTTCCCCATTTATCGAGGTTTGATGTCTTTGCTGAGGATGCAAATGAAGGTTTTCGGAGAGGGCTGTCGTGGAAGGCATGCGTTGTTGCAGGGCGAGCCGTCGTGGGGGATCGACGCAGATAGCAACAGAGTCGAGATGTACTAGGCGTCGGGTCGGTCCATACATGGCGGATCACATGGGGAGGGTTGTTGTTGGGTTGGTCGGGTGTATAAAATTCTGTCGGAATCAGCACGAATTTAATATYGTCTTAAAAAAAAAAAAGGATGCTTCTCCGAATGAGGGTTTGGGGGTGGGGGGTGGGGGTAAAGATTGGGTTTTTTTTTCAGGGGTTAGGGTGGGCATTGCCATGGTGCACGGACACATTATTTAACCCAGCCCGTGAAGGCTAACCGCAGTCTTCGCAGTGTGCCGTCGATCACTCCCGCCAAATTTGTGCCACCTACGTCCGCTCGTGCCAGTCCCTCCGCAGTGGTGCAGAAATTGCGCTGTAGTTAAGGCCCGCTGGTGCACGTCGCCTGCTTTGTGCGCGTCGTCGTCATCAGAAAACTCTTTGCCATCACCACGGCCCATCGTTTTTCGGAAGCGGCACAACCGTCTGCGCTCTCGTCCACCGCGCCTTCGATCGTCAATTGTCGTTGTTGAGTCGCGTTCGTCTTTTCGCGTCAACCAGCCAGCGCTTGGATCCGCCACATGGACGTCGACCGTGGAGTTGAATAACTTATATCCATCGTTGTGCCCTTGTGCGGCATTCGACGGACGGCGGCGCATCTTCCCGCTTCAGCTTTCGCAGTGGCAGAATGGCTCCGAGGCGAGGAGGCGGCGGTCAAGCTCGTGGAAAAAAACGTGATGCGATCACTGAACAGACGACAGGCGGTTCAGGTGGGGGACGTCACATGACGAAGACGAAACGGTCACGTCAGGACGCGAGTTCTGTCAGCGGCACGCACTTGGAGGACGATGGTTGGGGAAGACCAAACGACGGCGAAGGCCACAACGAGACAGGATACCCCGCTATGGAGGAGGTAGCGCGAATGAAGCAAGACCAGATCACACCTGTTACGACGCCGCAAGGGAGACATCGCGAAGATGCAGGAACCGGGACATCTGCGGCGACGCCACGTGTGCAACAAGCAGTCGGCGAACAAGGATCTGGCGGTGCGGCGACGCCACGTGTACAACAAGCACTCGGCGAGCGAGGATCTGCCGGTGCGGGAGAAGCGGCCATGCTTGGAGATCAGGCGCAGGTTCACGGCGCCGCTGCGGTCGTGGGCGAAGCGGCGGGCACACCTCGTGAAACGGGAGGAGGGGGGCGGAAGGTCGAGGAGGCGGCGAGGACATTGGAGATCCCCCGCGCGGAGAAGAGAAAGGCGATGGAGGACGACGAGCCGCTTGTTAACAGGGTCCGCAAAGGTGGAGTGGTGAAAGAACTGGCTGATTGGGCGAAACTATGGGTGGACGACAAGTCGTTCTGGACGTCGGGGGAGGGCCGCGGGCTGTACAACATTGTGAACGACGCACGAGAGTACCTCGTCGCCATCGCCAGAGGAGTTCCTTTGCCGAAGGTCCCCAGAAGTTTAGCCTTGCCGAGGTCGAACGTCACGGTGACGAGGCTCACTGATTCCGCGCAGTTTCAGGGGGCGATGAATCGCGTGTCGAAGTGCCAGAACATGGTGATGCGTGTTCTGCACGGATGGGTCTTCAAGTCCGGAAGCAGGGAGAGGGGGTACACTCTCGCCTTCCAGTACCTCCTCGAATCGGTGGCCACGGACTTCGCGCGCGCGATGTGGCTCGGAGAGGACCGGAGCAACGTCATCAGCCCCGCCATTTGCACGCACACTCTGGAGCTCGGGATGGACCTGCCTCTGTGCTACGCAGGTGCTTACATCGAAGACAGGCCCCGAGACGACGACATGGCTGCTTACCAGGAAGCGGCTGCCATGCGACTGATTGCTGCGTTCAGCGCAGCGGTAGAAATAGGGAAGGCGGTGGATGGAGGATGCATAAGTCAGGACCGTTTGTCCCGTGTTGCGAAGAGCTTGAAGGTCCTCTTGGCGGCTGCCATGTGGATAATGCGATTGGCAGGAGACGATCCGAGGTCTCATTACGAAGCTTTCTACTTCTACAACCTCGTCGCAAAGCCCATTATGGTGGCGTCCATGCACCGCATCTTCGATCATCGTTGCCACACCTTGGCCGCCGCAAACGCCGCAACCGAGCGACTGGGGAAAGCGCAGTTGACGTTGGGTCACGCGCCGTATTTCATCCCGGACTGGGCTAAGTGCGGGGTGAGATTCGGCCATGACGCGAGTTTGAGTGGACCCGACGAGGCGAGAGGGCTTGATTGGTTGGGCACAGGCCCTCCGGCGTGCGAGGACGACGACGACGACGATGATGATGCCGAAGACAGTTGAACGCCACCCGGGAGGAGGAGGACGACGACGACGACGACGATGGTGTGCGTCGGCGGGGGGTGGGGCTTTCGTAGCAGCCTGGACACCGAGGCCTCATCACGCGGCGATAACGACGAAGGTGTTGCGCAATCATGACGGGGACGATAGCGACGCGTGCTGATGCCGCCATGGGGACGTCGGTTCGGGCGAGTACGGTACGACGGCGGCGCGCGGCAGAGGAAGACCTTGAAGAAAAGAATAGCGCACGTCAAGTACATGTGCAGGCAGTCTACGGAAGAGGATGCCCACGCGTGATGATGCCCCATTCGACGACGCTCCCCACACAACGATGGTCGCGCCGCTGCGGAAGAGGATGCAGACGGTGATGATGATGCCGACGTTGATGATAACAATGATGATGATGATGATGGCGACGATGATGATGATGATAACGACCACGATGATGATGATGGTGATGATGACGTTGATGGCGCTTGTGATGATGATGATGATGATGATGATGATGATGATGATGATGATGTTGATGACGAAGACGATGATGATGACCACGACGACGATGATGACGACGATGATGATGATAATGACGATAACGAAGATGATAACCGGTCGGAGGTGGCGCGGGCAAGGTACTTTTTTGTGTTTGTTTTCGGTCGAGCAGGGCGCTGCTCGACGATGTAAATACAGTGGACTCGGAAGTGCGATCGGTTCAGCAAGGGTCTTTTCGTGTTGTTGCAGATATCTGCTTCTGCTTGTCGTTTTTTTCTTTTTTGTAAGGCGACATTTGTTCGCACGATGGCGGATGATGTGCTTTGGTTTGGCAGGGGTCTTTGTGAGAGTCATGTATTCCACAATTTGCGGTGTATGTTCAATCTTCCGACGTTGTCTTCGTGATCATTCGGGGAAGAATACCATTCACAAGCCACATTATTCAAATCTGTGTTGTTTGTTTATACGATGCGTTTTGAACGCGCGTCCTTTTCTCACAAATGGGTTGTGCTTTGTTTGCCATCATTGCTGTTATGCGACTTTTGCATGTATTTTATTCTATCCCGTTTCCGTTGGTTTCCAAACGCATCTACATCAAAGAAAAACCCAAATCGCCATCTGTTTTTTTTTTTTCTTTTTTTTTTTTCTTTTTTTTTTCACGTCGTCCGAACATGTCATTACGTTCGCTTCAAAAACTATGATGTTGAAGAACAACAGTTTGGCCATGCAATCTGTTTGCTTGAGATTTATGACGTTGAAGATGAACAACATGGACATGCAATCTGTTTGCCTGCATTGTTAGCAATTCCACAAATTTGAGAAGTGCACCGAATGTGTCAGTCATCAATAGACCTCAAACAATTGAAGATCGACAGAATAGAGGTTCGCAGAACGGCAAAAAAAACAAAATCGACATCGTAAAAAAAAAGGTTGTCCATATATTAAAACGTCGAACAACTGCACGAAGCACACCAAAAAGACGACGCAGCGCTACACACCCGAGTGGTCTTCCCAACGTCGAAACTTCCAAAACGACTGACGCCTACAATGCCGACTGCCAGGCGGCGTCACAGGCTACAACGCGACTTCGCACGCGACATCAACTCAGTGGCGGCCAACGAACGGCCACACGGGAGGGGAGGGAAACGCAAGTGGGGCGACCACGCTAAACATCCCAGAGATTCAGAAACACTACAAAAACGCAGCACTGCTCTACATGGACCACGTCACAAGCTAAGCTGCCAAAAGATCACACTACGGCATCCTC